TAGAATATGAAAATATCTGTGGTGGTATGCAAATCTAAATGTAAATACTAAGTTGAAAAAGGGGCATAATTCTGTAAAAATGCTTGAAACAGTTATCTCCTCCTGTCTACAGGTTGGGGTTATAATGGTGAATAAGTGTGCAAAATTTCAAAGCCATATGTCAATGGACTTTGAAAATATTTGAGATATAACAAAAACTTCAATGTAAATTTAAGTCGAAAAAGGGGCATAATTCTGTAAAAATGCTTGATACAGTTACCTCCTCCTGTCTACAGGTTGAGGTCATGATGGTGAACAAGTGTGCAAAGTTTCAAAGCCATATGTCAATCGACTTTGAAATTATTTGAGGTATTACAAAAACTTTAACATAAGTTGTTATGCCGACGCTCGGGCGACTACAATAGCTCTACTTATTCTTATCATAAAGTCAAGCTAAAGAGCACACTTAAAGTGATGTTTCATCATTTTCCTTCCACAAAGCATTACGAGTTGTGTATCATATAAGCATTACAAGTTTTGAAATTGTGAAATAAAATTGATATTTAACTGTTTTGCAACATTGAAATACATATAATTCATGAAAATTTACAAAGGGCAACATCTCAACAAATAAGAAGTGCAAGGAATAGCAATTCTTGTGCTCATTGAAGATGAAGCATGCAAGTTTGGTGTCAATCTGTTAACTGGGAGTGTCCGATCCCTGTAATATAAATACGTGATCTGACCGACAGTCAGTGAGTTATGCTCCAGACAAGCCTAAGGGGACGCCGAAATTAACAAAGGGCAACAACTCTAAAATCATTAAGTGCAGCATACAAGTTCTTGTGCACTGCACTTCTCAATGAGATACATCATCCAATGAAGTTTTAAGTCAATAGCTTTTAAAGAGTAGGAGAATTGGCCCGGACATTTTAATTATGAAAATTTACATGAGGCAATAACTCAAAAATATATCATGAAATACAAAGTACCAGTTTAAGTGTGCTGCACTTTTTCTTGAGATCTATCATCCAACGAAATCCATAGCTTTCATATTTAAGAGAAATGGTCTGGACAAAGGGCAATAACTCTAAAAATAGGAAGTGCAGAGTAATGATTTTTGTGCACTGCACTTTGAGTCATTGAAAGAAGCATGCATACCAAGTTTGGAGTCAATCCAACATATAATGAGTAAGATATGCTTACCAGACAAGCCTAACGGGATTCCGCCAACGAAAGTAACCCCTATATGTCCAATATTCAAGGCGACAGAAAAATCAGTTATTTGACCTGTTACTTATAAATATATTTATGTAAATTATAGGAATTTTCTCACTTGTTCATGCTGTGACATCAACACACACTGCAACATTTTCCATTGAACCATCCCATCTCCTACAAGTATATATAGAATAATTGGTTAACATATGTTAGATACAAAAAATGTAAATTCACCAATTGGAGAATAAAAAGAGTACAAATGGCATAAATTAGACAAATTATCAAAATTACAAGATCTGTCAATGAACAGCACACTCTTATTTTACTCAGTGCTGAGGAGTATGATAAATGCAAAGTAAAAAGGGGGCATAATTCTGCAAGTGCTTGGCAGAATTACATGCCCTTGATTGTGTTTGTTTTTTACTGGTTTTAAGTCACACCGACACAGTTTAGGTCATATGGTGACTTTCCAGCTTTACTGGTGGATACCTGACATGAAAAGATTCCGATTTCCTGCCAGAATTCGAACCTAAAGTGTTGAGAGACGAGTGGTTTAAAGTAAACAACCTTAACCACTCAGCCACGGACACACCTACATGCTCTTGATAGTAAACAAGTTCTTCAAGTTTGAAGTGAATATGTATGATGCTTTTTTATGAAAATAAGGAAAATGTCTTAAACTAAAAGGGAGATAATTAAGAAAAACTCTGTCAAGGTTATTTTCCAATTAGAAATGCATGCCAATTGGATGCGTAAGGTTAAAGTGAATATATGTACGGTAATAGCTTCTGTGGAAAAAAGGGGCATAACTGAGCAAAAAATGAAAAAAACAGGTTAATGAAAGAACTAATGAAATCGAGCTGTATATTAAATGGACTTGCCTATCTTTCAATCTTATTTTAGGGAAAATTTCAAAATAATTATACTGACTGAATTGTGAACAGTGATAAGACGATTTGTGTTGATATCACTATAAAATCTATTAACTTCATTTCTTCCCCTCTGCTTTTATCATGGCTTGGGACATGCTAGTTATTAAAACTAGGCAGCATTGGAAGAAGTGTAGTCATAGTATACGTCGAACCGTTATAAACGCACGACTGAATGGACGTTTGATTATTATTTTTTGTATTATTATTTTAAAGCGCGCTACACTTCTCCCACCATTCAGTTAACGAATCTTGTGATGTGGTTGGTATGTGATTTATTATTATTTTTATTTTTATTATTTTGATTATTATTACTTTTATAAAAAAAAGAATTATTATCACTTTTATAATTTAATTTTTTTTATTATTACTTTTATGTTGCTATTATTATTATTAATATAATAATTTGTTTATTATTATAATTATTATTTCTTTTAGGTAATTATTATTTTTATAATAATATAGCTTTTATGTTTTTGATATGTTTTCTTTTTATTGTTTCTTTTATTACATATAGCACCTATTTATTTTCATGAACACAACAACATGACAATTTATACCATTTTTTATACCGTAACTGTCACATTGATTGAAATTAAAGTTTAAAAAAAATAAAATTTTACACTCCATACCCAGAACAAACTTTTACACAACGTACATATAGCTCTTTAAGAGCTGACCAGAAACATTTTTAATTTTATACCCTTTTTTGATACACATTTTTCAAGCACATTTTTGTAACACATTCTTTTTACATACCGGTATATTTATAAAATTCTTTATACCATTTTTTAATATTGCCACATACCGGGTAATGCATTTTATTAAGACCATTCATAGCATATCATACCAATGTTAACCTTTGAACATCTTTGTGTTTAAAATTTCTAACTATAAAGAAGAAATTGCATAAAGTCACTGGATGAGCTCAGAACCCAAAATTAGTAGGTGTTATACCAACATCAAAGGTGCACACTTTTAAACTAATACCCTTTTTTAAATTATAACTTTTCGATATTTTTTTACCACACAATTCATATCATCTTTTGATTTCATGGGGAATATTATGTAGCATACTCCATACAGCCGACCAGAAACAACTTTTATACATATTCTTAATTCACACAAGGACTTTCATACAAATTATTTTATACAGTTTTCTGTAAACTGATTTTTTTTTTACTATTTATAAAAAAACCTTTGACATGTTTAACAGGATTTTTCCTGTTTACCCTTTTTGAAGTAGCCAACCAGAAACCAGATACATATAGTCTTTATATGAAACCGTTTTCATATAAATTATTATTACAAATTATTTTAATACACACTTTTTTTACAAATCTATAAAAAAACACATTTGACAAGTTTAGCTGAAATTCTCCTGTTTGAGAAACAGCCAACCAGAAACCAGATACAATTTAATACCCTTTTATATACCCTTTTTATACAAATTATTCATACAAATTATTTTGATACACAAGTTTTTTTTTTACAAATCCATAAAGAAACGAAAAATCCACGAAAATTCTGCATTGCCTAGTCAGGCACGAAACGAAAATATTTGTGCCCGGTGGGAACAAAACGAAAAGATTTCTATCGGAGGAAGAAAATAAATACAATTTATAAGTAAATGACAAAACAATTTATGATGTAAAGTAAGGATATGAAGGCAAAAATCTAGGAAATTCCGCATCGCCACTTCAGACACAAAATGAAAATATTTGTGTCTGTTTGCTTACCAAAAGATATTTGTGTCTGTTTGCTTACCAAAAGATATTTACCAATTACAGTCATGATCCAGGCCACTTCCATACTATGAAACTCCATATCCCTCAGCACTGAAAAAAAAACACCAGAAATAATTTGTTGACACATTTTTTATACACATTTTTTATACACAGCCAATTAACCTGTGGCTGAGAGACCAGATTTTTTTATACCTTTTTTATACATGTTTTTTTACATGTTTTTATGTTGAGCGTTAAGTGACCCCAGCCAACCTGTGGCTAAGAGGCCACATCTTTATACCTTTTAATGAGAGTACAGACCCCCAGCTAATTATACTGTGGCTGAGAGACCAGATTTGTTTATACCTTTTTATGATACCCATTTTTTATACATTTTTTTTTACGTTCAGAGTAAGGACCCTCAGCAAATTATACTGTTGCTGAGAGACCAGATCTTTTTATACCTTTTTATGATACCCATTTTTTATACATGTTTTTACGTTCAAAGTATGGACCCCCAACCTGTGGCTGAGAGACCAGATTTTTTATACCTTTTTATGATACCCATTTTTTATACATGTACATGTTTTTACGTTCAGAGTACGGACCCCCAGCCAATTATACTTTGGCTGAGAGACCAGATTTTTTATACATTTTTATGATACCCATTTTTTTTATACATGTACATGTTTTTACATTCAGAGTACGGACCCCCAGCCAATTATACTGTGGCTGAGAGACCAGATTTTTTATACTTTTTTATGATACCCATCATTGAGAGTACAGACCCCAGCCAATTATACTGTGGCTGAGAGACCAGAATTTTTATACCTTTTTATGATACCCATTTTTTATATATGTACATGTTTTTACGTTCAGAGTACAGACCCCAGCCAATTATATTGTGGCTGAGAGACTAGATTTTTTTTATACCTTTTTATGATACCCATTTTTATACATGTTTCTACGTTGAGAGTAGTGGACCCCCAGCCAATTATACTGTGGCTGAGAGACCAGATTTTTTTTATACCTTTATAATATGATACCCATTTTTGTATTTTCTGATCGCAAGATCAGATAAATACATAGCTATCATCCACGGTCTGACACAACATTTCCCAACAGTCCTAACAACGCAATGTAGTTCTCACTCAAAACTGCTTAAAAACCAGCAATTTATAAGAAAGAATAATTTTTAATGCATGCATTTAACAAATTACAGTGCATTTAAAGTTTTGATTAGTCAATAGAAATATGAGGTTACAATCATAAACTTCGCGGATGAATATCTTTTTTACCCAATGAAAAATGTTCGGCTATTTCCGTAATAGTTCGGATTATGATCGGGTGCGTCATTCTTTCCCACGCCGCCATATTGATCAGACGTATTAGTCAGCTAGAAGTCTTTTTTTATTGACAACAACTGTTGAACAACCAGAGGAAAGGTAAGATACTTTCTTGCTTTTATATTATTATAATTTAGTTAACATAAATAGTTGCTTGAAAGCTGAAACAGGATTTTCATTGTGTGGAAAATCGGGCGTGCATGTGTCGTGTGACCAAATGATTGAAGTTGTTGTGAAAACTTTCTGTAAACTCTCTTGGATCACGAGTTGAAAAAAAACTTATTACTTGAATAAGTTTGGGTAATTTAATATAGTCTTAGATATTTCATCTTATTATTTTTATCATCGGCTGTCCTTTTCATCTTGTCATTTAGTCATTTTTAATTTGTTTACAAACAAACCCACGCTAGTGTGACCTACATTTGTTTAGGTTTTAACTTTTATGCTGATTCGGGGCCGCACATTTGCTTTTGAAATACTAAGCACAGATCGTCAGTTTGAATTTACTGAATATTATAAGTTAAACGATCACCAAATTGCATATTAAATATTGTGTATTTGGTTTTATGCTAACCTGATGAAGCATTATATTTTTACAGTGTATAGAATAATTTATGCTTAGTCCGGGGCCAGCCTGATTACATCATTTCTTCTTTATACACAAAGATTAATAGACATCATTCCTGATCCAATTATCTCATTTAAACAAAAGAATTTGTTTTGGTCATATTTAAGCTGAAGTTTTAGATATACTTATTTTGAACATTTGTAAACAAATAAAAGCATCTTTATTCTGGAAAGGTTATCTTGAATAAAATCATTTGTGCTTTAAATTAAAGCCTTGAGGGGTGATTGGTAATGCTTGATTTGGGAAAGTTTTTTTTTGATGTTGTAAGGTAACTGTTTATAGTAATAGTACTTGTTTACATACATGTTTATAGATGTAAGTCATTTTTTTTTTAATCTTATACTTAGCTTAGAATTGTTATCAGTACTCAAACGGACACAAGCTTTCCCATAGAGTGCACTAAGAGTAAAATATTCAGATTATTTATTTAAGGTTTAACTGGCACATGGTATGAGAGTTAGGATTTGAAATAGAAATTTAAAAAATTTGGCATGAGATTCAGGATTTGAAATAGTGATTGAAACACATGGCATGAGATTCAAGATTGGAAATAGTAATTGAAACATGGCATGAAATTCAGGATTTGAAATAGTAATTGAAACATGGCATGAAATTCAGGATTTGAAAATGTAATTGAAACATGGCATGAGATTCAAGATTGGAAATAGAAATGGAAACATGACATGAGATTCAGCATTGGAAAAATAATTGAAACATGAAATAGATTCAGGATTTGGAAAAGAAATTGAAACATGGAAAAGATAAGACCTAGGGAATACTTGAACTGAGGCTTTGATAGAGAAAATTTGTAGAAATTTGTAGCATTTGATCAAATATGTCATAAGATTGTCTATGTTATATACATGTATATAAATATATTTGTTTGCCTGGAGTCAAGGATGTTTCACGTATGTGTCTGTTACATTTTATGCATATTTAGTAAGAAAAAAATATGTATATGTAGTATGTGTTATAGTTTTATTGTTGGTTGAGAAGTTCATCCGGAAATGAACCTTTTTTTACAGTAAGTTGCTTCAGTTATATACAAGAAATATGTATCAATTATTTCTATGAATGTCATTTTATTTTACTGATGTTTATCAGATTTTTGTTGTGAAGAAATAGAATTTGATAGTTCAGAAGTATCACATATGAATACATCTGCATACATTATTTTTTGACAATTGTTATGGCCAGTCAGTTGTATAAAAAAAAGTACACCTTCATACAGGGGAAAATTTTGTGTTTCCATTCTTCAATATTATTACTCTGTGTCATGGCTATATCTTTGATTTTAATTATTTGAAATCAATTCATTAAACAGCTTTCATTTACTCAACAGCTACCTATATGCCTTCAAATTCTCTCTCTTGGCATTTTAGTGCTTTGATTCTTTTAAAATATTAAAGTTTGAAATCAGATATTTTGTTATTAAAAAAGCATGTTTATAATACAAGTTTCATAGAGCTCCATATTGTGGATTTCCAATGGCATATTCTTTACTTGCCTCTGCTGCTTTCCATCAAGGAGATGGCTGTTTGCCTGCAGCAGCAAGGGGAAGACAATGTGTTCCATGTAGTCTTGTTTTTTTGATCACTGTAAGATATATTAAATCAGCAAATGCACTGGACACAAATGATTTGAACGATATACTAAAAGCAGGCAGTCAGTTGTATTGTGCAATGATTGATACACATTCAATAACATCAGATTTTGTATATCCGGATGAAGTTCCAAAAAGAATTTGTTATAGAAAAAAATTTGTCAGTATAATGCACAAAGGTGTAGTTTCAGGTTTAGTTTGTTGTCGTGAACCAGTGCGACATACTACTCCTTTATCATCATTTACAAATGCCTTTTTGACCAGTTGTATTCATTCAGAGTATTTTGTTCTTGTTCTTGATGATGTTGCAGTTGGCATATATAAAGATGGCTCATCTTTTTTTGTCTTTGATAGCCATTCAAGAAGTGCTGTTGGAAGGAGTGATTCAAATGGGACTGCTGTTCTTGGCATTTTGTATTCTATAAGTGATCTGTGTACATTTCTTTGTACATTGGTTTATTCGTTAGGTAAAGATCCTTTTGCGGTTCAGTTTGATTTGCACTCATATTCTTTTATGGTCCGTCTATGCAATGACGCTAAATATACTGTTGAAATTAATTACCCAGACTTTGGTTTCAAAGTTAAAAAGATTAGAAAAAGAGCACATACAGATGAAACTGAAACACAAAACAATGAGATTGAGATTCAAAGTACTGAAAGTGTTGCACATTATAGGTGTGCTTCTGCTGATGAAAACATGGTTATTTCAAAATTTCTCATGTCAGTATCAGAGGGTCCTGACTATGTTTGCTCTTCCTGCACCCAAACCTTTTTCAAACACAGTGTTAGAAATGCAAAAACTTTGTCAGATGATATAAAGCATCAATATTTATCAAATATTTTAAGTGTTAATGGGTGTGAATGGGTTTGTGTCAGTTGTTGGAAAGTTATAAAAAGAAAGAAAACCCCCAAGTTTTGGTTACATAATGGCCTGCAGTTTCCAGTTAAGCCATCTGAACTAAAGCTGTCTAGTTTAGAGGAAAGGCTAGTTTCTCCAAGATTACCTTTTATGCAGTTACGAGAGATGCCTAGAGGGGGTCAGATAAACATGCGTGGAAATGTAGTCAATGTTCCTGCTGATATAAACAGTACCATTAAGGCTTTGCCCCGGTTTTTAAATGATGATGAAACGATAATGCTGAAGCTTAAACGCAGACTGGCATATAAACATCATGTTGCATTTGAAAATATTCGCCCAAATAAGGTTTATGAGGCTGCCAAATGGCTTTTAAGCAATAGTGCACTATTTAGAAATGAAGGTATTGAACTAAATGAGACATGGCTTCAACAGCCAGAAAAATTGTTAATGAAAGAAAATGACCCAGAACCTTCCAGCTCAGTATGTAACCCGGAACTCAATGCTTCTGAAACACAAACTGACAGTTGGACAGAAGATGAAAATTTTAATGACAGACCAACAGGTAACTTTGATACTTGTCTTCAGTCAATGGATTTTAGAGAATTTAACCAAGTATTGTGTATTGCCCCTGGTGAAAACAACTCTCCGCTTGGTTTGTTTCAGGATATACATTCAGAAATACTTTCTTTTCCATCAATATTCTGTGGTCAAGAACGTGTTGATAATTCAAAGCAGATTATTGCTCTGCATTACAGTGACATTTGTAAGTGGGAAATGAGAAATGTAGATAGGCGTGTAGCACTTTGTGTTCCGAATATCTTCTATAAGTTAAAGAAGTTGCAGATTAAGCAAATTAAAGATAAAGTGTCACTAGCAATTAGAAAATGCAAAGTGAATGGCCAGTCATTAACTGCAGGGAATTTGCTAAGCCCCAGTTTTGTTGAGCAGTTGACAATGCAGGATGAGGGTTACAGGGTTCTACGAACATTGCGAGGTTCACCTCCATACTGGGAACAAGCTAAGCGTGATCTCTTTTCTATGATACGTCAGATAGGATTGCCTACATGGTTTTGTTCATTTTCAGCAGCAGAAACTAAATGGGGACCTTTGTTAAAGACCTTAACAAAACTTGTTAATGGTAGTGAGCAGGGTTCGACACTAACTGTTTTTACCAGGGATCCCATAGGAATCCCTGAGATTTAATTCAGGGATTCCTCCTAAATATCAGGGATTCCTCAGATCAAAATAGTAAAATATGGAGGCGAAGAATAACAAGGGAGTGCAGCAATTTGATTTCAAATTCTTTTCATTTTTGAGACTACATACAGGATATATTGTCTTGTTTCAGATGCAGAAAATGTAGTTTATGAGCCCTTTGGAAATAATGCTATTTAAAGTTTTAAAAGCGTTTCAAAGTGTTAACTTTACTAGTATATATATATATATATATTTGGACTGCTAAGATAAATTAAAACATAATATATTTTTACATGAACATGGAAACAGAATAACATTAAGCTCACTGAACAAGAGTTCGATTTGAAAATAGCTATCTTGCTAAAACCTGTTTTCTCCCTGGAGTTGATAATTGTGAACCAGTTTCTGTATCTAAATGAAGGTATAATGCAAGTGACTTGACAAGGTGGTTTGAATTTTTGAAGTTAAATAGGAACTGGGGAAACATTTTCCCAGATAGCCTAGGGTTCACTGAAATAGAGCCCACTTATCATATGTAGATCTTTAAAAAGTTACAGGTAATGATTAGGCTCCATATTCCAGAAAGGTCTGGTATGGATAACTGTCAATAATTATTTACTTTCATGTCATTTTTAAGGAAATTCTTAATTATGATCACTTTAAAAAAATATTTGATATCATTTTACATTTTTGTGTTTAAAAGGAAAAATCCCATAGATTGTTGTAAATTAAATATGTTGATAATTTTTTACTTAGGCTAATAAAAATATCAAGAAACAGTTTTGTTTGCATTACAAGTAAGGTACCTTTAA